AAAAAAATTTAGCTGCATTTGTATCTTTTTATTCTAGATATATTCATTAGTGTCAGCAGAATTAACACTCATTCATGTCGATAAAGCATTCTCACTTTCGTTTCTCTTTAGATTAATAGTTTTCTCGTATAAGTGCTATAGATCTCAATCTTTGAACATCGTTTTCATTCAATGAAATCTATTAACTGCGTCAATTGCTCGTGCAATCCTCTCGCAAAAAAACTACGAATAAATGCAATAAAAAATTTATCCTACAATGCTAAATAGACCGCGTTACTAACAGAAACATAAGTGAGAATGCTTTATCGACATGAATGAGTGTTAATTCTGCTGACACTAATGAATATATCTAGAATAAAAAGATACAAATGCAGCTAAATTTTTTTACATTTCCATACAAGTGAATTATCGACGTATTTGTTGTTTCCCTCCCCATTAGACTAAATTCAACACTCTCACATATATCCTTTATTTCATTATGATTATATTTATTCTCAACATTATTCTGAGTATCTATCATTGAAAAAAATGACCCATAAAAATCGATCATTATTAATTATTGTGGTATTGGATTTGAATTTAGTCTGATGATGATAACAGAAAACAAATGCGTCGAAAATTCACTTATAATGCAATAAAAGTATTTTAACTGCCTATATATCTTTTCATTCTTGATTTTAAATATACCATTTATTTAATTATAATGAATGTATCACATCGACAATATGCTACAATTAAACAAAAAAAAAACTAACTTCTTTTCAAATGTGAAGCAACTATTTAATTACATAAATTATTCGGATATTCTGCATGAAATGAAGATAATTGGTTGTGACATGCCTTTATCGTTTAGACAGAAAAGATATTTTTACATTTGTAAAGTAAACTAAGAAAAAAGCTCGTACCTCATAGGTGTTATTAATTCTTTAGTTTTGATAAAAAAGCTCAGAATTTTTCTTTTCTTTCAGAAAAAGTTTTCTCTTTTTGATGTCAATTATTACTCGAGAACAAAAAGAAAACCAATACTGGCAATCAAACAGGCGTTGCTGCGGGACTGTTCTTTTGTAACTGACCGTAAAATAAAATTTATGCTAACACCAATCAAGTTCTGAATAAGCTATTTTGATTTCTTTTCATTTTCAATAGAAAATAGAAATGAACCAATGTATTGCTTCTCGTCACGTTTTGTAAACAATATTTTTTTAATACAGAACGTCAAATCATTGAAAGTTACTTCGGTGCTCAAATAAGTTAACAATCAACAATTTTATTCTCGTAGTTTGCATATCAAATTTGATCACATTCAAAACAGCATTATCGTGCTAAAACCTACCACAAAAATTACTCGGATATCTACCTGTGGAATTCATATCAACATATAAAGTGCATTACATTTTATTTAATTAAAAACAATAATGGCAAATACAGCGAATAATCGTGTAGTTCCAGTTGCTTCGATAGAAAAACAAGCATGGAAATTGGAAGCACCAAAACATCGACGTCGTTCCATTATTAGAGAATTTGCTTTGAACACATCCACTCATGGTTTACCTGGTATGGCACGTAGTGAAAGTAAACATAATTGTATTTTTTGGACTCTTTCATTTTTTATTTTTGCTGCCATTATGATTTATTTTGTTACTCAATCGATTACAAATTATTTTCAATATCCAACACAAACATCTGTATCAATTTTTGTTGAACGCTCACAAGTATTTCCTGCAGTTACATTTTGTAATTATGCACCAGCTCGTTATGATCTTTTAATTGAACCTTTTTTGAATTATACAAATTCCATTAATGCGACAAATACAAACGACACAACTACATTTACTGTAAAACAGGCTATTCTTCTTCGTCAATTTTTACAGGTTCAGCTCAACACAGATCAGTCTATGATTGAGTATTTCTTCTCTCTCGATACAATGTTAATCGAATGTTTGTACAATGACCGATATTGTACGGCTAAGGATTTCATCGCATTTTTATCTTCTACCTATGGTCGATGCTATACGTTTAATGCTAAAACAAAAACAACAAATGGAAGTGATATTAAATATACTAATGATAATGGAGGATCGGGAAAACTTATTTTACGTCTTTATGCACAAAGTCATCTGTATGTTCCATTGATTTCGGAAGGTTTGTTTGAATAACACACTTCAAAATGTACTTATTCTTTTTTTTTCGTATAAATAGATGTGTCGGCCGGCATGGTCGCTATGATTCATGATAATACACAATTACCACTCATTGATGTAGCTGGTCTTGTGCTTGCACCTGGAAGAAGACATAAATTAGGTTACAAGAAAAAGACTTATCAATTTTTATCGTCACCATATACAGACTGTACAACTAAGATACCACTTGCTATGAAAGCAATGTTCAATGAATATGAAGGTGCTGATTATGCATATTCACAAGGTGTTTGTTATACACTTTGTACACAGGCATATATGTAAGCATTATTATTTTACAATCGAAAATCGTATACTGTAAGTTACGGATATTAACGATATTAGAGTTGAATGAATGGTTTCACTGTCAAACTAAGTATTTAAAAAATATGATCTGCTCATAGCATAAATGAATCGAGATACTCGTTTTTCAAGATATTAACAGTTCACTCCATATGCCTACAGTTCAAAAGTTCACTAGCATTTATCTGTCTTTTTTCATCGTGGTTTAATGAAACTAGTCGAGTTATATAAGAAAAAAAATAATATTCACGTATTCGAAAGCAGTTCTACAATAGTCAGAATTTGGTGTCTATTGCTCTGATGTTTAACAATAATTTCATCTTGGAGTTTTCATAAAATTACATTCCAATGTGTGAGATTGTGTTCTTTCTCATCCAACTGGCTGAATTCTATCGAATCATGATGAAAAAAGAAAAATAAATGCAAGTGAAATTTTGAAGTGTAGGCACATCACATACACTATCAATATCTTGAAGTTTAAATGTGTCAAATCATGCAGCCTATAGGCAACTCACATTTTAAATTAGTTAATTTGACAGTAAGACCATTAATTTAGCTCCAATATGTTCCACTTGCTTAACTAACAATCTGCGACCTTCCGTCGTTAGACATGATTACAAGAAATCAAATCAAATATCTTTTTTCATAGTTATCAGGAATGTGGATGTGTGAGTCCTAGTGAATGGTCAGCCAGATCGATTGTCTTACCTGGTACAAATACAATAATTCAAGCACCTCTTTGTAACGCAACTAGCACATGTTTTTCAACAGCCGCTGTTAGAATTTCGAAGACAGCATCGATATGGGATCAGTTTTGTTCAGATTGTCTTCAAGAGTGTTCGACTGCTGGCTTTACTGTTACATCATCTTCAATAGCAGCACCATCTGTTCAATATGCATATGCAACTAAAACGTTTCTTGAATCACTCTCTGTACCATTACCGACAAATTGGACAACAAATTGGTTAAATGAAGTTCAAAATAATTTTATTTCCCTTGAAGTTGTATGTGAATCAACTCAAGTAGAAAATTATACACAACAAGCATCACTTAGTTCAGTTGACGTTCTTTCAAATGTCGGTGGTCAAACAGGATTATGGATTGGAATTAGTTTCTTGTCAGTGATGGAATTTATTGAAATGCTTTATCGTATTCTTCGATATCAATTTTATATTATTTATAGGGCTATAACAAATAAATTTGCAAAATAGCAATACATAATCATGTAAAATGAAAGTTTTCATGTTAACTCTCTCTATCAATTATTTAAATATTGTTTGTTCGTTATATAATAAATAAAGAGTTTAAATGTTATGTAGAAATGTAGGCCTTGTTGAAAGTATTGTTATCTTGAAAGAGTTTTATGGATGAAATTTCTTTTTTTCTGTATAATGAAAGAAGACATTTAGGAAACTAATTTTCAAAGTGTTGCCAGATGAATTTGATGTTTCATTGGAGAATAAGTTAACAATTGAAACACTTATTCAAATCGACATTTTAAGTCTCGATGCAAATTTTTTCTCAATCATATTGATAATTATCTTTGTATAGCTATGCTTGTCGAGGATAAATAAAAATTAATAAGAGCTGACATCAAGTCAAACTTAGAGGACAAATTTTCTATTTTCTATAACTGAACATTAATGTATCAATGTAGCTTCAGTTATTTACTTGATTTATTTCTATAAACATAAATGAGTAACAAGTTTTGGCACAAAATAGCAAATCAAAATGAACGAACAAATATATTATTAATTTTGTGTCATAGAAGATAGATTAAAATCATGAAAATGTTTTTGGTTGTTTCAACACTATTCAACGGACACTTTTACTTGTTACTCATGAAAAAACGTAAGAAAAGGAGAATAAAGTGTTTTTTTAAGAAAACGATACTATCGTTCTTTTCACTTCCATTAAAATAAATCAATCATAGCTATAGTTTTTTAATCATTTTTCCTCTTGGCATTCAACTCATTCATTCTTTTTATCTTAAACATACTGTGCACTAAATAAACCTGACGAAATTTGATAGACAGAGTCATCCACATGTTATGGTATCTTGCATCTCAACTGTATTAGAAGGAAAACTAATATTACATTGGACAGACTAATAACTTTGATTTGAGCTGGCTTGATGGCTTCAAGACATCTGCCAGTTGGCAGCATAGATTGCAAGCTGCTTGACTAATGTGACAGGCAAATATGAACGATTCAAGAGAAAACAATCTTGATTGTCAACAAATGTTATTCTTTTCCGATAATTATTTCGGGTATATGAGAACAACTATTCTTTTCTTCACTGTAAATTGAATTTCTTTTTTGAAATCTCTTATATTGCGATTTTTTTGTTTGTTTTATCGATGAAATTTTTTTATTAAAGAACTCAACTGTTCTTCATGGAGTAAAAAACATAAAATATGTTTTAGTCTAAAAAAAACTATTAATTGCATCCATGGTGCAAATAGACAGTAGAAACAGAAAAACATCAATAAAAATCAGTTTTCACAATGAGGATGGTTCTGATTTCTTAGAGAGACTTTGGGAAAGAAAATATAACTTTTCATAAATATTGATGTTGCATATACTAGAATAATAAATGAACGATGGTGCTTCATAAACTTCGATAAGAAGACTTCTGAATTCTATGTTACAATATGGTAATCGAAGAATTTTACAAGTTGAACTATTTTATTAATTCTAGCATCTCACAATAGTAACTGCATCCTTTCAAAAGCCTACTAGAAATTTTTATCTCTATTATAGAAAACAAAGTCGTCAATGAAATCTAATTTATACAGCTTTAAAATAGATTTTTTCTGTTGATGATCGAAAAACAAACTTGAGATGTATATTGACTTTGTTTATATTTCGAATACTCATCATTGACAATTTAAATTCAGAGTCGAAGTAAAACAATCATAGTAACTGAACAACAGACGATTATAATGTATTATTCACAGAACAGGACTTGTATAGACTAGTAGAGAAAGACTTTCTCTGTCTAACAGCGTAAGTATTATTAGATTCTACTGTGTACCGTTGACATGTTAACGGTACACAAAATAGAACTCTGAAATTCAAACATTATTAGATAGAGAAAGACTTTCTATAAAAGCCTACATATATTCTTTTTTGTTGTGAAAAATCATCCAAAAACTTATAGTTGCCTTTCCTTTCCACACCATTGAATATTCATTCACATCAATAAGAAAAATAAATCAGTTAAGAAAACAAACACCGATTTATCTATCAATTTTTGTTTTAAGAGTATTTGTTTGTATTGAAGAGATTTTTTTATCTTTAATTATTATTCGAACATGAATGACATTCTACTTTGCCTCGATCATTTATTTACCAACCAGCAACATTTTTGTACCTGGTTGAATAGCTAAAGAATTCTACTTTCGCATGTACTATCAGTCATCGTTGTTTAAATGTTTTCTGAAGACTTGACAAGATTTTTTTCTGAAAAGAATCATAATCCGAAAGAGATTTTGGGAGATTTCGTCTTGAAAGACTGTCTAGCTGCGGTATAGGTTTTTCATTGGAGAATATAGGAGACATACGTGGGCAAATATGCACCACCAACTGTTGTACATGTTTGAAATCAATGTTTTCATCGAACTTCGTGGCGAAAAAAAACGTGATTGTCAACGTCATAATACATTTTGCAGTTTCCTCTTCTTTCGACGAACTGTGACATATACGGGTGAGTTTTTGTCTAGATTTACAGTTCATTAGTTCATACTTTTCTATATCTGTCTTACTTGGACTCAACTAGAGGAATAATTCTACCTTCCTACTCATTGATACTTACAGAAAGATCCCTTCACTGCTTTCAATACCAAAACCCACATTATTCAGACTAAGTAGTTAGAAACTATGATAGAAATCTTATATTCGAAATAGATCGCAGGTGTCAACAAAATGTATTTGTACCTGACTATATATATGATGAAATTATTTTGACAAGTTTGTAATAAATGGTATCGTATAAAATAGCTTTTCATGAGAATATCTAACGAATCATTATTATATATGGTACTCGAAAAGGATTAGTTCATTTTTATCTGGCTTAAAAACACTTTGAAGCTATATTGACTAAGAAAGCGAAGTCTACTATGTCTTCATATCAACAGAAACCACGAATTGTGATAAAACAGTGCACATAATTGTATTGAATTATTTTTAATTAAATTTATACTCTGACTAACAATGATTTTAAGATATTAGAAGTCCAGGAAACTGGAAAAAATTGCATAAGCAATTAATTACGTAAAATCGACCCTAAAAACAGTCTTTGAAAACAAAAAAGTCTAATGTGATTTTCGTCTAATGAATGAAAGACAGTCAAACATGTAGCTAGCAATGTGGGACTCACTAGAAATGCTTAACAACTTATATCAACCAGAAAATAAATTAAAGCAATTGTATTAATGTGTAGTCATAAAGATTTGAGTTTTGTTTAAAATACGAGATTAATGAAAAAAATTTTTAATTTCAATTACCAATCTTTGATAAAACGAAAAATTCGAAAGATGGCAGCAACATTTTATCTAATAACTATTGCTATTGAAATTTGTTTTCATTTTCTGGCGACCACCAGTCTTGTTTTCATGATCTCGAAAAAACAATCCGATTTCTCACTTCAGAATCATCACTTTATGAAGCAAATTGAGAACGAATGGAAGCTCATATCGAAGTTTCGAAAAACAAATGATCATATATGAACATGAAGCTTTGTAACAATATTTGAACGAAACTTGTATGACTCTCCTATCTTTACGTAATCACGACATAAAATACGATTTCGAATTATGCGCTGACAAAGTGACAAAAACTCGCAAACAATTACTACATTGTGCTTTGCACCGAAATAACTATTCGCGAGTTTCTTTTCACAATCACATATCTTCAAGTAGAAGTATTCTATTTAAAATAAATCATTACATTAATGTTCGATTTGGTTATTAAATAAATATCAAACATATTTTTGGTAGACACATAAGTAAAAGTCTGATCCTAAACAACATGTCCATCGTTCAATTATTCGAGTGCCTAATCTTAATATATTAACTCATCGTATTTCTCTTATTGTATGTAGTCAAAATCTATATAATCGATTCGTTCGTAATGTTTCATTATTAATTCACTCTATGACTGAATCAATGTGAACGGATTTTTTCATATTCAAACACAAGCATACACATTAAATGTTGTCTAGCAATCACAAGTATTTCCTAGAGTTACTTTTTGAATTATTCTCCACGTTGATATGATCATTTTAATCGGTTTTATTCTAAATAAACAGATTCAAACAATTTAATTTAAGATTAAGTAGTGACATAAGCATATTTATCTATTGGATTGACTCAATTAATTGGTTATTTTATTCAATATCAGTTAAACGAAGATGAATCAATATATGATTATCTTTTATTTCTTCTCTTGATATTATTAGATTGTAATTATCATAATACAATATCTACTTCTAGAAATTTCAAGTTATTTCATTATTTACACATGGTTGTTGTCATGCCTTTAATATAGGATCAGCAATTCTAACTAAAACTAGAATTTGAAACACCAATAATATTGATGATAACTTCGATAAACTTGTATCAAGTCTTTATGCTCGTAGATATCAGTTTGTTGCGTTTGTTTCAAAAAGTAACGCTTATAATACGATTTATTAAAATATTGTTCTCTTTTCACATATATGTTTCTACTAGATTAATAATAGTGACACATAAGAACGCGAATTTAGCTCGAATTTATATAAAAGAAATTTAACGTGTATTTAGACGCAACTATACATTAATTTATAAGAAAATGACAAATTATTCCATATCTGTGATATTCACTAGATCATATTATACTGGAAAAAAAAACAATTAGAATAACAAATATGCAATCTATTATGAAATCAATTTTCTTCAGATTCTATCCAAGAATATTTATCTGTTGATTTTAATTGTTGCACAATCATTACTAACAGCATCATCTCTGTGCTATGCATATTTAACTCAAGAATTCATTGAATCACTTTCTATTCAATTATCGACATAATGATCAACAAATGGCTTTTTCTCAACATCAATATAATTATGTCGCCATTGATATTATATGGATTTCACCTAGATTAAAACTTGTACACAAGAATCATCATTTACTGATCTTGATGTTCTCTGAAATATTGGTGGCCATAGAG